CTCCTCCTCCCTCCCTTCTCCCTCTCTCCGTTCTCCATCACCAACCCAAGTGCTCTCTCTCTCTCTCTCTCTCTCTCTCTCTCTCTCTCTCTCTCTCTCTCTCTCTCTCTCTCTGTTCTCTCTCCCTTTTATTCTCCCTTTCTCCACACCCCTCACCTCCCTCTCCATCTACACCCTCACCCTCCTTCTCCTTTACACCCTCTCCTCGGGCAGAAGGGATCAGTTTCAGGAGTACACGACTGCCAATACCGCCAGTTAACAGGGAGCATGACAGGTCGACTGACAGTAATGGGTGGAGCTGTCGTTGGTAATGAGCCGAGCTGTCAGGAGGGGTGCTGTCTTCTTACCCCACCCTCACCAATCCAACCCCACCCTCCACCCAACCACCACCCACACACCCACCCAACCCCACCCTCACCCCCACCCCACCCAACCCACCCAACCCACCCCTACCCACCCACCCACCCACCCCACCCACCCACGTCATCATCGGGAAGCTACAAGATACGGGTAGCTGCATTACCACTATAGAAATACTGATGGGGAGGAAATTATTTTTGTCGCTGCTGAAATTGGATGAAGTTTCTGTACGTGATGCAAATAGGTTATCAGCGTTGCCTATTACAGTGTGTAACTTGGGAAAATGTTTAATAATGATCATTTTAATGTAAATTATATAAAATGTACGGTATTATATTTGCTATATAAATTATTACCTATAACAAAGAAGGAATATAAATGACTTTTTAGTTATATAAATTTGGGTAAGATTTTTTGTCACAAAAATTTAAATAAATAAATTCATCTGTTTACATTACGAATAAATCTGCTTCTATCACTGAAAACACAGATAAATTAGTTTATTTCATATCTAAACCATAACAAATCTGATTCTATTATAAAATATGCGACTTTCACCACAAAAATCCTCAAATATCGTAAATAATTTATCTCCCATCCAAGAAATCTGCTTCTATCATCAACAAATCGGCTTTAATCACCGCAAAAATCTGACATCAGAGAGGCAAAAGGTGTTGGTGACCATCCATGTTTACGAGGCACACAGCCCACCTCTGTGTGTGTGTCCAACCTGTAACTCACCTCTGTAGTTACCCTTACTCTCGCCTCCATTACCGGCAAAATACGGTGCCAGGGAATAAAGGAGGTCAGGTGGTGGTAGTGGTGGTAGTTGTTGTAGTAGTAGTAGTAGTGGTGGTGGTGGTGGTGGTGGTGGTGGTTGTTGTAGTAGTAGTGGTGGTGGTGGTTGGTGGAGATGAGGTTGATTGGTGGGTGTTGGAGGGAAGGTTAATGGTTTTTATTGGTGATATTAATAGTGGTAGTTGTGGTGGTAGTGGTAATAAGAGTGGTGGTAGTCGTTCACACTGCACGAGACCTACAGTAAAATCCTGAACACTTACGCAGAACCATATCCATACGTGAGACTCAGATTCTCTTTCAGCCTGCCCCTGGTTCAGACACACCTCCACTATCCATCCAGGTGAGTGAGTTGATGGATAGGTAGATGGAAATAAACTTGGATAGATAGGTAGATGCATGGATAGATAAATAGAAGGCTACGGACAGACACACAATTAGTTTCCAAAGCAATTTTCTTTTTTTACCTTTGAAAGCTAAGTTAGTAAATTTCCCTCTCACATAACGGCATTTTTTTCCCCCCTACCTAAGAGACAGCTATATTATCCCCCTTTTCCCTACCACAGGACTAACTTTTTTCCCTACCACAGGACTAACTTTTTTCCCTACCACAGGACTAACTTTTTTCCCTACCACAGGACTAACTTTTTTCCCTACCACAGGACTAAGACATATCCCCTACCACAGGACTAACTTTTTTCCCTACCACAGGGCTAACTTTTTTCCCTACCACAGGACTAAGACATATCCCCTACCACAGGACTAAGCCTTTTTTTCCCCTACCACAAGACTAATTTTTTTTCCCGACCAAACATAGTTCCTTTTTACTCTAATAGACAATGTCTTCTTTTTTCCCTGCCCCATTTGGAATTTTTCCCCTAACAATGAGAAAGCTATTCTTTTATCTTTTGAAACTCTGATTTTTTTCCCTGCCACACAACGAGCGGTTTTTTTTCCTTGCCAAACGGATGATTATTTTTCCCTACACAGACTCAAATTTCCCTATCAAACACCCCGCTTTTATGTTACTCCTTTACAGCGAGTTTTTTCCCTTAACTTGTGTGTGTGTGAGAGAGAGAGAGAGAGAGAGAGAGAGAGAGAGAGAGATTCTTTTTCTCCTCCGTCACGCTGGGATGATTTTTCCCTGCCACTACGATATAAACTTTTTCTTTCATTCCGCCAAAGGATTTCCGTAGACAGCTGAGTGGGTGACAGTCTCTCTCTCTCACAAACTCCCAGCGGGGTATAATAAATGATAGCTTCTTATTGCTGAAGATATATGTAAAAATTCCATACAGACAGACAGAGATAAACGTAACAATATATTCCTTCAACACTCACGGCGGGGTATAACAGACGTATATAAACACAGACAGACTAACACAACACTATACACCCCCCCCCCCCTTACAGTCACGGCGGGGATTAAGAAAATATCCCACAGTATATAGAAGGGTTGTCGGTTTTACCTTTTGCTGTGGGCGTGGGCGGGCTCCCCTCCCCCAACACCTGGCTGAGGAGGGGTCGGGGTGCTGGCTCCCCCCTTTCCTTTGGCTCCATGGGGGTAGAGGGAAGCCAAAGGCCAGCGCTCCTCCTGCCCCCTACATTGTCCATATCACTTATCCCGTAAAAGAAAAAATATTGTAAGTTTGTTTTAATGGAAAAATGTCACAAACAACAACAACAACAACAACAACAAATGTAAATAACACCAACAACAATAACAAAATAATAATAATAATAATAATAATAATAATAATAATATTAATAATAATAATAATAATAATAATAACAATAATCAATACATTAATAATAATAATCATAATAATAATAATTAATAATAATAATACATAATAATAACAATAATAATAATAATAACAATAATAATAAAATAAAATAATAATAATAATAATAATAATAATAATAATAATAATAATAATAATAATAATAATAATAATAATAATAATAATAATAATAATAATAATAATAATAATAATAATAATAATAACAGTAATAATAATAATAATACTAAAAAAAATAATAATAATAATAATAATAATAATAATAACAATAATACATATAATAATAATAATAATAATAATAATAATAATAATAATAATAATAATAATAACAATAATAATACTAATAATAATAATAATAACAATAACAATAATAATAATAATAATAATAATAATAATAATAATAATAATAATAATAATAATAATAATAATAATAATAATAATAATAATAATAATAATAATAATAATAATAATAATAATAATAATAATAATAATAACAATAATAATAATAATAATAATAATAATAATAATAATAATAACAATAATAATAATAATAATAATAATAATAATAATAATAATAATAATAATAATAATAATAACAACAACAACAACATTAATAATAATAATAATGATAATAATAATAATAATAACAATAATAATAATAATAATAATAACAATAATAATAATAATAATAATAATAATAATAATCTATCTCTCTCTCCACAAAACAAGCCTGAGAATGTGTTTGGACAGTGGATCCACGTAGACACCCGTATGTCTGCCTCTGTCTATTTCTCTCTCCCTATCTGTCTGCCTGTCTGTCTACCTCTGTCTATCTGCCTAATTCTCTATCTAGTTCCCTGACTCCTTCTCTATCTTTCTGTCTACGTCTGCATCTGTCTTTCTCTCCATCTACCTTTGCCTATATCTCCCTGTCTATCAACCTTTCCGTCTGTCAATCTTTCTACCTCACTGTTTATCCACCTTTATCTATCTCTCTGTCTGTCTATCTATCTTTTTTCTGTCTATCATCTGTCTGTCTTGGAAAATGCATTCTATATCCCACAACCACACGTGTTGCGAGGGGTAAGCTTGTTGACACGTGTGCTGTATGTAGTGTGTTTACATCCATCAGCTGATCAGTGACGGAGAATACCAAACTAAATACAGTTTATACAAATTTGAAGCGGTTGATGTTGTGTTGATATAGAACTTTCATGAATGTGTGTATGTAATTTTATCATTCATTTGTGTTTTGTGTTTAAGTGTAATAAGTTGAAAAAGTTTTAGTTATGCGGAAATAATATAATTTATCATTTACGTTTTGTTATGGAAATGAATTAAATATTCAATCATATTTAGGAATATTATTAACCTTTTCTTATACCTGTGTGTACACCTGGAGGACAACAACAACAACAACACGTTTCCTACCGTTTGTTTTGTTTATGTTAACAACAATAATTACACTACTACTTCTGTTGCTACTACTACTGCAGCTACTACTATTAATTATAATAATGGTAGTGTGGCTCAATATATTTCAGAAACATGGTGTAATATATGTAGGTGACAAATACATTTTAATATATTTTGCATTAAAAAATGTATTAAGTCATAAAACAAGTGAGTACACAAATTTTATAAAAGAAAACATTTATGCATTTATTTCACTAGTGAGTAAAAAATAAATGAGTAATGTAATGGATAAGAAGGGGAACAAAATGTTAGGTGGACAGTGTGGTGGGGTGTGCACGACCACCAGACGCATGTACCACTTGTGTGTCACCAGGACCAATCACCAACTAACTCAGTGGAGAGTCACATGGATGGGCGGCACCAACACTGCTGTAACACGTACGGAAACATGACCCAGGGTGAGATACCCCACAACACAAGACACGTGGTAGGTTAGGTAAGGTTAAATTATAAACTAAATCAACTTATATTTTTATTTTTTATTATTTTTATATTTTATAGTTTTATTTTTCGTTTCTTCACTCAATTGAGAGATGGGGCATCACTTCCCACCGCTGGTCCGGTTCTTCAGTGCTTTTTCTTGTCCTTATTTTTGTTTTGGGACTTCTGATTTTTTTGGGATCGTTTTTCACCCTTGGAGCTGGAACACTCACTGTCCCTATTTCTCCCCTTGTTGCATTTATCTACCTTGGACTGGGCCTTGTGGGACTTCTGCCCTTGGGGAGTGGTTTTGGGCTTGGGGTGGTCTTCGGGCTTGGACTTGGGCTTCGACTGAGGCTTGGGCTGGGGCTTGTGGGACTTCTGCTCTTGTTGAGTGGTTTTGGGCTTGGGGTGGTCTTCGGGTTTGGACTTGGGCTTCGACTGAGGCGTGGGCTGGGACTTGAGGGACTTCTGCTCTTGGGGAGTGGTTTTGGGCTTGGGGTGGTCTTCGGGCTTGGACTTGGGCTTCGACTGAGGCTTGGGCAGGGGCTTGTGGGACTTCTGCTCTTGGGGAGTGGTTTTGGGCTTGGGGTGGTCTTCGGGCTTGGACTTGGGCTTCGACTGAGGCTTGGGTTGGGGCTTGTCTTCCCGCTTCTTACACTTCATGTCAAAATTCGGGGCAGCTGAGCTTAGGTTGTTAGTCTTACCCATTTTGTATGATACCATATATAACGTGTGATCACCAGGAGGCAGATTCTTAATGACTGTGGCCAAGATAATGTAGTGTATAGTGTATGTATATAATGTAGCAACGGCTATAGTGTATGTATAGTGTAGGTATATAATGTAGTAATGGGTGTAGTTTATAGTGTATGTATATAGTGTATGTGTATAGTGTACATGTGTGGTGGTAAAGGTATAGTGAAGTTATAGTGTGGTAGTAAAGATATATTGTGTAGCAGTAAAGGTATAGTGAAGTTATAGTGTGGTAGTAAAGATATATTGTGTAGCAGTAAAGGTATAGTGAAATTATAGTGTGGTAGTGAAGATATAGGACTGGATAAGGTAGGTTGGGTCAGTAAGGATTGGGATTAGCCAATATGGAAGATGAGAACGAAGTAGGTCAGGCTAAATGAGAGAGAGAGAGAGAGAGAGAGAGAGAGAGAGAGAGAGAGAGAGAGAGAGAGGGGAAAAAATGTTTATATACAACAGTAACAAACACCACCATCTTTCCTCTCTCTCCCTTTCATCATCAAAAGTTTATCACACTCGTCAAAGTCTTCATCTACTCCCTTAACTGCCCTAGCTCCCTACTTCTCCCTAAGTTAAAAACCAATAAAGTAGCAAAAAAAAAAAAAAAGACTCCCTATAATTTATTCCCATATTGGTAATTACAGGGGAGGGGATCGAGCCATCTCACTTTTCAAGAGATTTCGAACCGCTTCACTGAGTTTCGAAGCCACAAACCCAACGAGATACGAATATTAGGATCCCGCCCCCCCACCACCCCCGATAACCCTTCCTCTCACACACCACCTTACCTCAGATTACGGGGGTAGTTCCTTAGAGTAATCCCCAGGTAGATTTTAGGATTAAGGTAGCCAATACCCGTAGATTAAACCGTAAGATCACGCCGCCATTATCGAGATTATAAAGAGGAGTTCGAAGAGTGTGTTTCGGAGTACCGGGGTTCGGATATCCGCTTCGTTCACCTGACTACTCGACTCATTTCCAGAACTTTTTTTCTTTTCCCTCTGCCGCCAAAAGTTGGGCTTTTGGGGCTTTGAATTTATTCGTTTTAATCTGTGATCACCGTAATATTGAGCCAGGTGGTGAGGGAGGTGGGTGAGGGGTGCAGGAGGGGTGTGGAGGTGTGTGAGGGGTGTGGTGTGATGAGGGGTTAGGGGTAGCCAGGTGTGGGTGAAGGGTGGGTGGGTGGGGTTAAGGTGGTCAGGGGTGGTGGGTGTGTGTGTGGGCGTACATGTGTGATCTACCTGGCCTTACGTCCTCCAATTACCTGTGAATAAGTAATCACCTTAACAGCCTTCATTAATACAAATTTTTTTCATGTATTTCAAAAATTTTATCTATAAAAAAAATCTGAGCATTCTTTTTTCGTTAACATTTTTATGTATATATAAATAAAACATCCATTAACCCCTATTACAGTGAAACCTCCATATAACGGACATCTCTCCATATAATCCTTTAGATGGAGGTTTCACATATAACAACCCTCGATATACCGGAATTTCCTCTCCATACAGTCCGTTAAACAGAGATTTCACTATACATCGATATCAACATTTTTTTTTCACAGGATTTTTAAGTTTATTTTTTTTTAGAAGAAATAATTACAAATGTCGACGTTTTGGCCGTAATTATAGAGTTATTATGAGTACTTTCACCGACTGCTATAATTATCTGGACCAAAGTTATGCATCATGGTCAGCCTTGCCAGATATACACAACTAATACAACTTTACTGATTTTGTGTGTGTGTGTGTGTGTGTGTATGTGTGTGTGTGTGTATGTGTGTGTGTGTGTGTGCGTGTGTGTGTGTTACATTATCTCCTTTATAATATTAACACACACTCTTATCAGTTAATGTTAAATATTTATCTTAGTGTTCATTAATGGCTGTAAACACACAAACACATGTAAACATTTTCATTCTTATTTCATTCTGCCTTCAAAACATTTACGTCATTCCTGGATAAATATTTTCATAGTATTTGTTTGAGAAGTTTTCCAATCTGTTTCGTTTTGTTTTGATTATTAATTCGTTGTCTATTTTTTTCTGTCATTTTATTTTATTTCAATATTTGCTGTCCTTTTGTTTAATTTTAACACCCACATGCCACCCACTCGACCACCCACCTACCCACACAAACAAACACACACACACGCCACCCACTCAGATGCTTACCCACATACCACACACTTTCACACCCACCCACATGCCACACACTCAGCCACCCACCTAACCATCCACATACCACACACTGGCCGCCCATCCGCCCACCAACCTACCCCCACCCACGTCAATACCATCGTCGTCCATTCTTCATGGGTCGACCCACCTGCCTACCCAACCTACCAACTCACATGTCACCCCTACGCCGCCCGCCCACCCACCCACCCACCCGCCCGCCTGGTCCCATCTGTTCTCCTGGCGGTAAAATCTCTCTCTCAAATTTTATTAAACAATTTTTCTGAATTCTTTGTTATCCTCCGCTTGATGCTTCTACCTGTGTCTGTCTGTCTATCTGTCTTTCCGTCTGTTTGCCTGTCTGTCTGTCTGCCCGTCTGTCTGTCTGCCCGTCTGTCTGCTTGAATATCCGTCCCTCTGTCTGTCTATGTCTCTCTGTCTCTTTGTGTGTCTTTCTGTATATCTGTCAGCCTCCCCGTCTTTATCTACCTGTCTGTTTGCCTGTCTCTCTCTGTGTATATCTGTCTCTCTGTTCATCTGTTTGTCTGTCTATCCGTCCATAAATTATCTTAAAATGGCTTCACAATCAGTCAAATAAATTTTTTGGTTTTTGGTTTTTGTTTTTGCCCTTCCTTTAAAAAGGCCTCTTCCTAAAAAGACGCAGACCCCTTCCTTTAAAAGACGACCCTTCCTTTAAAAAGGCGCCTTCCTTTGAAAAGACGACCCCTTCCTGCAAAGGACTGTAAAAGACCCCTTCCTTAAAAAAAGACCCCAAGGAAAGACTCCTGTGTCCCTGTATTAATAGAGCCTAAAAGACACCTTAAAAACATATCCCTAAAAATAAGTTCTCCCCTTTAATAGAAATGGTTTCCTCCACCAAAAAATTTAAGTATTAACAAAACCTAAAAAAAAAAATTATTAACTCTGCCACACAAGATTTTATTCGCGTTGTATTCCATTTGAACGTCATTGGTCAGTTTTATAGATCCCGTATGGTTGTGATTGGCCGTTTAAAAATATGAAAGATAACGGTCTGCTATTCTCGGTTTTATCATTGGTCGTTTCGCAGATCCTGCCTGATGTGATTAGTTATTTTAAATGTTTGTCTGTTCGTAAATCCCATTGGTCAGTTTATTAAAAAGAAGAAATAATGGAAAGGTTTCTCAAAGATAAGAAAAGCGTTTTGAATAGACAGAGGTGATGAAGGAGGAACAAGAGATGTGGGGGAAGAGATAGGAGGGGACAAAGAGAAGAAGGAAGAGGAGAAAGAGAAGAGGGAAGAGGGACAGGAAGGAAGACCAAGAGAAGAGAGAGAAGAGGAGCAAGAGAAGAGGAGTTAGACAGGAAGGAAGACTAGGAGAAGAGGGAAGAGGAGCAAGAGAAGAAGGTACGAGGTAAGGAAGGTGGGAAGGAGGAAAAAAAGGAGTAGAAAGGTGGTGAAAGAAGACCAAAATAAAGGAAGAATAGGCTCGGCAGAAAGAGGCAATTCTATGAGGGGCAATTTGGCTAACCATGAGACCTCGCCAAATTACTATTATACACAATTTCATAATTTTTCCTCACAAGAAACGTTTATGTATATTTAGGTTTTTCTACAGTCTCATATTTTTCCCAGAAGTTGTATACTTTATTTCAAGACGCTTATATTTGTGATTTTTATATTTTTATTTGCGAAGTTTCATAATATATTTCAGGTGGTTTTTATATTTTATTTGGAGTTTCATAATATTTTAGGATTTTTTATATTTTATTTCCAGGAAGTTTCATAATATATTTAGGATTTTTTTTTTATTTCCAGGAAGTTTCATAGGGGACTTTTTTATATTTTATTTCCAGGAAGTTTCATAATATATTTTGTGATTTTTTTATTTTATTTGCTGTTTCATATATTTCAGGTTTTTTTATATTTTATTTGGGAAGTTTCTATAATATATTTGTGATTTTTTATATTTTATTTCAGGAAGTTTCATATATTTCAGGGGATTTTTTTATATTTATTTCCAGAAGTTTCTATAATATATTTTGTATTTTTATATTTTATTCTAGTAGTTTCTTAATATATTTTTTTGATCTATATTTAATTTGCAGGAAGTTGTATATTTCTTTTTCTTACTTATCTCTCTCCATTTTTTTTTCTTAGGAAGTTATTTGCTACAATCCACAGCAAATGAGAGGAGAGAGAGAGGTAGAGAGAGAGAGAGGTGGAGGTGAGAGAGAGTCTCACCTCTACAAATTATAACATCCCTTTAAAGAAACAAACATGTCTCATTCATACTATTACATCTGAGACCTGAGCTCTTGGAACTATAAGTCTCTTGAACTCGTTTGTCTTAACTCTAACCCATAGATGTGGCGCTGTGTTTGTTTACCCATTACTTCACTCTTAAGTATCTATAGACCTAAGTAAAATAAATATGAATCAAATATATATTTTTTCCTTACTGCTTCAGAGGAGGCTGGCTTATCTGTCAAGGAGAGAGTTTGTTTACATCTGAACTCCTTGAACAATATGGGGGGCTTAGACAACACCACCACACCCTACCTTCACACCCCCCACACACACACCACCACACCCCACCTTCACCCCCCACACACACCCACCACACACCCTACCTTCACCCCCACACACACATCACACCCTCCACTCACCCCCACACACCACCACACCCTACCTTCACCCCACACACTCCACCTCCTCACACCCTTCCTTCACCGCTTTCTGTAATGAGCCCAAGTATAAAAGTCTAAACATCTGTCTCCCACACACACACACACACAC